ACTGAAGAAGGGTCTAGGCCCAAAACGTCAGCCTTCCTGCTCCTCTGATGCTGCTTGGCCTGCTGTGTTCATCCAGCTCTACATCTCATTATAGTCTCTAGCAGTTTTCAAATTATTCATGTGAGGCTAACTGGTCTATAATTATACAAATAATTATTTTGCCTTTATTGAACTGCAGTGTAAAATTTGCCACCTTCCATGCCTTTCATTTGACACTCCTCAAAATGTTTTCAAAAAATTATGTTTGGCAGATTTTATTATCTCACTGAGTTCTCAGTATTCTGCGGTGTGTGGCAACCTAAGCTGAATGAATGATCAACTTTAACTCCTTGTAGGTATGTCATTATCCACATCAGTTACATTGTCTTTCATATCATCCATCCATCTTCCCTTCATTCTCTGTTGTGAGAACAGAGGGAAAGCCATTGTGAAACTTTTGCTATTCATGAATTCCATCAGCTGTCAACTTTGTCCCTAAGTTGTTTGACCATTGCTTTGACTATGCTTTTGCATGTAATAGGATTATAAAAGTTTTTATATCCTTGTCTGCTGAGCATCTTTTTTAACAATTTATGGTCCCTTTTAATATTCATTTTTACTTTGGTCCTTTGCCATAACTTTTTTTTTCTGTACTGAACTTCATCAGAGATCTCCATTAGCAGGCTTGTTTGTTCAAATCTCTTGAATTTTCTACAGAACTGTAGGTTTAAAAGCAGTCCCTTTATTCTTGTTCTTAATTAGTAGCAAATCCATCTCATGCATAGTCATCTTACCACTAATCTGCTGCTTCATCTTCAAACAATTTATTTGGTTTAGGTTTTCCTTTGCACATTTTGACTGCAAAACATTTGATTGTTAGTATTATCATTGGATAATGATTTTTCCAATTCAGAGTCAGATTCTTTTCTTTACAACACTCAAAATAAGAATGTTTTTGTTTTTCAATTTTGATCATCTCTAGATTTTCTTTACATCAGCCTTTTTTGTGATTAAAGTCTTTCATTATTATAGTTCAATTGTGGAAACTTCTCAGAATTATCTGCAATCTATTTCACTCTCACCTTATGGCAGTCTATTATGGACGTTCAATAATTTTTGTTGATCTACATTAACTGTCAGTCAAGCATTGTCTTAATTTTGAAGTTCTCTCAACACTGCCTCCCTTTGTCTCACCATATCTTTCCCCATCCTTCACTGGCCTCTTAATTCATTCCCAGATCCTGCTTCTTGGCTTAATCAAATTATCCCCATATTTCTAAACCTACATAGTCTGAATTCTAAAATTGGCCTTGATTCTCACAGGAGAGCAACTATTAATGTATTAAACTCACATGATTCTTGGAATATTTATAGGTGTTGTTACAGGTAATATTAATCATTCAGAAAGCACAATACTTACTGTACTGGCAGTTTCTGCCCATGAATTCTCCTGGACACTCGCAGGAATAATTTGCAATGAGGTCAGTACAAATACCACCATTTCTACAGGGTTCAAACTCGCATTCATTTATATCTGGGAGGACAAAAAAACAAAAGTTATTCAGCAGAATACAATTTATGCTTATAATGAAACACAGCATCATTTAAAAACAAATATTTACTAATTGTCATAATATGTCTATTGTGATATAGCCCTTATGCTCTGTTACAATTAACATGTTTCATTCAAAGCTATTTACAGTACACTGCGACCCAAAGGACACTAAGGAAGTGTCACCGGACCTGAAACGTTAACTCTATTTTTTTTCCTTCACAGATGCTGCCAGACCTGCTGAGCTTTTCCAGCAACTTCGTTCTTGTTAAGTCTGGCTAATTAGCAGGGCTTAGCTGGCAGATCACAGTGAGGTGAGTCAGGCAGGGAGAGAGAGTGCTTGAGAGGCTGGGATGGGAAGGTTAAAGGGGTTTATTTCTTTTTGAGGATGTTCTTCAAATAGGGAGACAGCAGACACATGGGGGCTCCCAATAAGGAACCTCCTCCCCACGCCCCATGCTTAATGACACCAGCCACGCAGAAAAAGTTGGCGCGCTATCTATTTGATGTGGACCTCCCCGTGCAATGGTTGAAATGGAGCAGAAGCAGAATGAGGTATTTTACTGGGCCAAACAAAAGCAGAAAGTGCTGGAGACACTCAGCAGGTCTAGCAGCATCTGTGAAGAGAAAACAGGGTTAAAGTGTCAAGTCCAGTAACTGTTCATCATTAGTTGGCCACTTCTCGGATCGGCAGGCTACCTGGCAGGTCTGGCTGACCACTGTAAAGTGATAGGTAGGTCAGGAGAGGATGTAAAATGACAGGAAGGCCATGTGTTGAATTTACAAACTACCATGCCTCCCTATTCACATAATTAATGTAAAACCATCATTCTCCATGATACAGACTTCCTCCCTCTTCTGTCCTAGTCCTACCCATAACTCAGTTTTTGCTTATCTGTTGAAACTTTACACTGATAGTTTTGCTGTGATCAAGGATCCCAAATCCGCCGGGATCACAAAACGGTTGTGCTAATACTTTGAAAAGTGTGAAGTAACTATATTTCACCATTTGGATAGTGAGTATTATTAAAAGTCTTGAAGTATTTTCAAGTAATCCTTGTGAAATTACCTTTCTATAAAGTACAGAGACAGCTTACTTCCTAGATGATTTTTAATGTATGCCTTGCATTACATTGACAAATAGTTTTGATATCAGAGGCATGCTTTTTTTCTTGCATTTGTTTCTCTCTAATAAAATTACCTACTCACAGAAATAATTTGAATGGTTTATTTAGCTAAACCGTTTAGCATATTATACCAATTCTGATGTAGCAGCATTCTTGCACACAAAGTTAATTGCATTTGTATGTTATTGGACATGACACATACTGGCGATATTATTTTCTTCAAACACAGGCTTGCAGTACAAAAAATTGCAACTTAGGCAACCATCTCCAAGGAGGATGCATATTTAGATCCTTCGGTCAAACATAATAGAAACCACTTCCTATATTACTGCAAAGCTCCACTACATCATGAGCTGCTCTCAAAATAGAAGGCATTTTTAGATAAAGGACATGGAAGCAGAATTCAAACATAACTTTTTGCTTGGAATCGTGCATTATTTATCTATGTTTTATTACTCGGGGCCATAAGCTGTTACAAGTTGGGCTGGCTGAATTTCTAGATACTGCCTTAAGTGATCCTTTTGAAATAAACTGGACTCAGATTAGTAGACAACTTAACATTTGAAGTTTTATGTGTTTGTGGCTTATCACTGCAAAAGCCCTTGTGCGAGTTAATGTGATTCTTCCCACAAATGCTGGCCTAGCCAGCAATGCTCACATCCCATGGCTGAATCAAACAATCTTTTTATCTAGCTTTCATCCCAGGCATGATAAAAGATGTTTTAAGGTGAAAATTTTCCACAATCAGGTAAGTGTATTGCTGATTGGAAGTACTGATGGGAGGAACAACATTCAAAGGGACATAGGGCAGAATGAATGCAACTGAAATGGATTCAGCTCTACATTAAGAGAACCAATAAAAAGGAACTATGTTGGTTCTGAGAAAGTGAGCCAATGAGGTCAGGTGTCACTCATTCCTTTTTTTTCCTCAATTTGTTCAAGGGATGTGGGCATCAACGGCAACAGCAGCAATTATTGCCACGTCCTAATTGCTCTGGAGAAGTGATGAACTGCCTTCTTGAATAGTTTCAATCCTTGGGATGCAAGAACACACATAGTGCTGTGAGGAAGGGTGTTCCAGCATTTTGACCCAGCAACAGTGATACATTTACAGGTCAAGATCGTGTCCAATCTGAAATGGAACTTGCAGGTAGTGGTGTTCCCATGCATCTGCTACCCTTGTCACTCTAGGTGGTTGAAATCATGGGTTTTAAAGGTGCTGTTGGAGGAAATTTGGTGATTTATTGTAGCATAACTTGTAGATGGTACACGTTGCTGCCACTTGGCACAGTTGAAGGGAGTGAATGTTGAATGTGGATGAGGTGCCAATCAAGCAGGCTGTTTTGTCCTGGATGGTGTCAAGCTTCTTCAGTGTTGTTTGAGCTGCATCCATCCAGGCAAGTGGGGAGTATTCCATCACATTCCTGAATGGTGCCTTTGGGGAGACAGGATAGGCTTTGGGGAGACAGGAGGCAGGTTCCACACTGCTTCCACAATCAGTCCATACTGAATTAATGCTCTATATTAGTCTTGTCCAATTCTTCATCACTTAACTCTTAGTATAAACCTCTATTTCATTTTCCCTTTTATGCTAATCTAACCTCCAATTAGATGCATGAATAATATGCATCTCACTTCATCCCATACTCTGGATAAAGTAGTTTCTTCTGAATTTCCTATTTGATTTCTTGGTAATCAAATATGATATTTTGCTCCTCTTCACAAGAGGAAACATTCTCTATTAAAATCTTACAGTCTTTTAAGTCTTCTTCATTCTTCTCATTTCATCAGAGTATTCTATTCCTTACAAGTATACCTAGCACTTCTGAGGCCATCCTTGTGAATCATGTTTGCATTCTCTCCAGTGCCTCTATATTCTTTTGTACCGCAGCGAAGAGATTAATCAAGGCATAATAGGTTTTGTATAAAACTTTCCACTTCACAATTCTATCCCTGTAGAAATAAACCCCAGTGCATGTCTTGCCTTTTGTAAATAGCCATGTTAAAGTGCATTGCTACTGTTACTAACCTGTACATCTGTATTCCCCACTAAAATCCCTTAACTTGTGTACCAATTTAAATTCTACTTTCAAAACATGTGACTTGCATATTTGTCTTACCAAAATTTAATTTGTCACACTTATCTATTTAAAAATTCATTTGGAGTGGCATTAGGGATGAGGGATTTCAGTTATAGAACATAGAACTGTATAGCACAGGAATGGGCCCTTTGGCCCACAATGTTGTGCCAAATATGACTTCTGCCTGCCCTTGGCCCATATCCCTCCACGTCCTGCATATTCATGTGCTTATTTAAATGTCTCTTAAATGCTGCTATTGGATCAGCATCCACTACTATCCCTCGCAGCGCATTCCACACTCCTACCACTCTCTGTGTAAAAAACGTGCTCCTCACATCTTCTTTGAACTTTCCCCCTCTCACCTTGAATACATGGCCCCTAGTTTTCATCATTTAAACTCTGGGAAAAAGATTCTGACCGTCAACCCTATCTATGCATCTCATAATTTTATAGACTTCTATCAAGTCTCCCGTCAGCCTCCATCACTCATGAGAAAACAACTCGAGCTTTTCTAGCCCCTCCTTCTAGTTCATTCCCTATAATCCCTGCAGCATTCTAGTAAACCACTTCTGCACCCTCTCCAAAGTCTCCACGTCCTTCCTGTAATGTGGCGACCAGGATTGAATGCAATACTCTAAATGTGGCCCAACTGAAGTCTTCTGAAGCTGCAACATCCTAATTGACATCCTAACTCTTGTACTCAATTCCACAACCAATAAAGGTAAGCATGCCATGTGCCTTTTTAACCACCCTATCTACTTGCGTGGCCAAGTATGCAGAAAGATTGGAGAAGTTGAGAAGTTACAACAGGGAAGGAGATTTGATAGAAATGTTCAAAATCATGAACAGCTTTGATAAAGTGGATAAGGAAAATTTGTTTTCAGTGGTAGAAAGACCAGAAATAAAAACAGTGCATAGATTTAAGGTGATTGACAAACAAACCAAAGGGAACACAGGCAAACACATTTTACACAGTGAGCTTTTGTGATCTGGAATACAATGCCTGCAAGACTTGTGGAAACTGACAGAATAGTAACATTGAATAAATGTTTGAAGGGGAAAAAAAAAACAAGGCTGAGAGAAATAACGAGTGGACTAGAATTGATATTTTTTATTCATTCATAGAATGAGGGTATCGCTGGCTGGGGGAGCATTTATTGTCCATCCCTAATTGCCCAAAGGGCAGTTAAGAGTCAACCACATTGCTGTGAGTCTGGAGTCACATGTAGGCCAGACCAGGTAAAGGTAGCAGTTTCCTTCCCTAAAGGAAATTAGTGAACCAGATGGGTTTTTCCAACAATTGACAATGGATTCATGGTCAACATTAGACTCCTCATTCTACATTTGTTTTTATTGAATTCAAATTCCACCACCAGCCGTGGCAGGATTCATACCTAGGTCCCCAGCACATTACCTAGGTCTCTGGATTAACAGTCCAGCAGTAATAGCACTAGGTACAATACCACTGGATATATACAATCAATAGCTGGCATTGGAATGAAGAATGAATAGCCTTCTATTTTCAGTATCATTCTTTGGTTCTTATTTAGCTGAATATGGAGGCAGGATAATCAGAAATGGACCATATTGAACACATGGGCTGCTGCTAGCCAATGACCTGCCCCCTCCCAGACTCACCAGGATCTTCTGCATCTGCAATAGCACAAAAGCTATTGCTTTTGCTCGGTTTTCATCAACGTTGGGTGCCCACAAATTTCTACTTCCAGGTGTCTCATTTTACCAGTACAAGTGTATCATGAGAATAGAGGATAGAATCCTCATACATTTATTCTCTAGCACTGAATTTTAAAGAGTTCTTGGATTGCCATGAAACATGATGAATAGTAATTGTTTTTTATGAACATATTACAAAACCAAGTCCTGGATATCATGCGTACTCCACGGGGATCTCACCATTTTGTGCCCTCAGTGTGCGCTTCTACGAAAACAACCGAATTAAAATGACATTTCAAAGCTTCACGGAAGAGATTTTCAATTGTGTGTGTACAATGGAATAATTTTATATCAATCTGCCTACTGATGTGGTGAAAAAAAAACTAAATATTGCTCTCCTTTCAAGTAAAGATCAGGGAGAAGTACTTTCTACAATATTGTTCTCTTAAATAAGAAGTGATAAATACGAAAAAGAAAGCAATATTTTTAGAATGCAATAGCTGTAAAATTAATTTTCCAATGACCTAAAGGGTTGCAAGGAACATAAATCAAAATGCAAGTTACTACCAGTGTTTACTCATCAATTTAGAAAAAAAAACTTTCTAAATTATTTTATTGTATTGAGTAGTTATTTTCTGAGGGCATAGACTAGAGCTCCATATCAAACATACCAGAGCTATAAATCTTCATTACATTAAATTACTTAATATTGAACAGTAGATTGACTACAGCTGTACCTGGGAGCCTGCAGATCTAAATAATCAGGCACTGTCTTCTTCAAAAACAACTGGCCTCTTTTTTAACAGGCAACTTTAAACAGTTTAGCTCATTGTGAAAACAAAGCACAAGCAGTGATATTCTCATTCCGAAAATGTTTTTCTTAAAAGTTATGAATATAAGAAATGACAGAATAAAAGCAGAAAGAAAAGCTTTATTTGTGTTAAGACTACAGATAAAGAATTTGGATAAAAGGTTAAGTTTCCTTAAATGTTCATTCATTTCATATGTGAATATCATAGCTAAGATTTAGGAGAATTTTGTTCTGTCATGAACACTTGAGAGTCTGTATCCCATCCATGGGAATCTCATAAATATTAGTAACATAGTTTTTTCATGGTCAAGAGAACACTTCTCATTTACAAATGTGACAAAATTGATGCACAACACATTCTAACATAGCGATGCTCGACTGCTGGCACGAATGGACTAATTGATTCCACTTCAAACCACTAGCTTTCAAAGATGAATCTTGATCCAAGTGATTTAGCAATCATCAGTTGCTTGAAGCCTATTTAAGTCTGTAAATCAATGAACAGAGGTAATGCAAAACCTCTAGAAATCATTGGCTAGGCTTTTGTGAATATTGTGCTCATCTTTCAATGCTGTACTTTAGTAAAGATATCAAACACACATAGAGCATAAGATAGTGGTTCAGAATGATGGCACCAAGGTTTTGTGATGAGAGAAAGAAAATAGAAAGACTGGGTAAATTGGCAAGCAAAGGTAGGAAGAAAGAACTTTAATTCAGATATAGCAAACATTATCTACATATTAGAAACGTGCAAGGAGTAGGAAGTCAAGGGTCATTCGCTTGAAAAGACTTTTCTCATGGAATTCAACAAAGATGATTACAAGGTCTGGGCTGAGAGAGGACACCATGACAATACCATCAATGTGGGCTAGACAGTGTCACAAAAGATAAAATCAACTGTAATTATTGAATTAAATATTTACTTAAGTCTCTGAAGTGAGGCTTGAAGCCATGACTATTTAACTGAGAGTCAAGCATGTTCGCACAGCTTAACCTCATACAAAAAGTTTTGTTTTATTCAGTCGTGGAACATGGGTGTCACTGGCTGGCCAAAATTTACTGCTCGTCCCTAGTTGCCCTTGAGAAGGTGGTGGGGAGCTGCAGTTCACATGCTGTAGGTAGACCCACAATGCCCTTAAGGAAGGAATTCCAGGATTTTGACCCAACAACAGTGAAGGAGCAGTGGTATGTTTCCAAGTCAGATGGGGAGTGGATTTGAGCTGAACTTGCAGTTGGTGATGTTCCCATTATCTGCTGCCCTTGTCCTTCTAAATGAAAATGGACATGGGTTTGGGAGGTACTGTCTAAGGATCTTTGGTGAATTTCTGCAGTGCATCTTGAAGATAGTATACACTGCTGCTACTGAGTGTTGGTGGTGGAGAGAGAGAATGCTTGTGTATTTGCTGTCAAGCAAGCTTTGTCCTGGATGGTATAAAGCTTCTTGACTGTTGTTGAAGCTGCACCTATCCAGGCAAGTGGGGAGTATTTCATCACACACCGAACTTATGACTTATAGATAGTGAATGGGCTTTCGGAAGTCAGGAGGTGAGTTACTTGCTGCACTGTTCCTAGCCTCTGGCCTGCTGTTGTAGCCATTGCATTTGTGTGGTGAGTCCAGCTGAGTTTCTGATCAATGATAACTCCCAGGGCATTGTTCGTGGGGGATTTGGTGATGGTAACACCATTGAATGTCAAAGAGGCAGTGGTTAGATTATCTCTTATTGGTAATGGTCATTGCCTGGCATTTGTGTGATGCAAATGTTACTTCCTACTTGTCAGCCCAAGCCTGGATATTGTCCAAGTCTTGTTGTATTTGAATACAGTCTGCTTCAGTATCGGAGCAGTCGCAAATGGTGTTGAACATTGCTCAATCATTGGTGAATGCCCCCACTTCTGACTTTATGATGGAGGGAAGGTCATTGGTGAAGCAGCTGAAGATAGTTGGGCCGAGGACACTACACTGAGGAACTCCTGCAGAAGTATCCTGGAGTAAGATGGTTGACCTTCAAAATCCACAGCCATCTTCTGATGTGCAAGGTATGACTCCAGCCAGCAGAGACTTTGTCCTCAGTTTCTCTTTAATTCTAGTCTTGCTAGGTTTTCTTGATTCCACATTTGAACTGTCAGTCTCACCCCTGGCAGCTCTTGTCCATATTTGAACCAAGGCTGTATTGAGGTAAGAAATTGAGTGGCCCTGACAGAACCCAAACTGGGCATCATAGCAGGTTATTGCTGAGCAGGTACTGCTTGATAGAACTGTTTGACATTATCTATCACTTTACTGATGGGGTTGTAATTGCCTGGGTTGGATTTGTCCTGCTTTTTAATGTACAGGACATACCTGGGCAATTTTGCACACTATTGGATAGATGCCAATGTTGTAACTGTACTGGAACAGCTCGCTAGGGGAGCGACAAGTTCTGGAGCACAAGTCTTCCTTGCTGGAATGTTGTCAGGGCCCATAACTTTTCCAGCATCCAATGCCTCCAAAGGTCACCGGACCCAAAACGTTAACTTTGTTTTTTCCTTCACAGATGCTGCCAGACCTGCTGAGGTTTTCCAGCAACTTTGTTTTTGTTCTTGATATCACATGGGATGAGTTGCATTTAGATTATGAAAATGTTTGGTAGGGTAAAACTTGAATTGGTAGTGAGTCTATGGGACAACTTCGAACTCTCAGCTGCCATTATTACCATACACCAGGATTGATGATGACAGAAAGAGAGTGCCCATCCTTAGATGCACTTCGACTTTTGAAGTATTTTTGTGATGGATCTGGAACTAAGTGCATCACTGCTATTCAGAAAAGCCAAGAGTGCCATCAGGTTTTGTTCAAATTGCAATCCTCGTTATCTCACAGTTAAAATAATATCCTTGGGCTGCAACTTCATCATTTGAATGAGCACTTCGCTGTTTTGCTGCAGATAGCCTACTTATGCCTGATTTCAGGTAAGTGGGGATGGTAGGAGGTGCTAAATCTCCCCCTCACCAACTTAAACCTCTCACATACACTATTGTCATTGAAGAGGGTGTTAAAATAACCTCTCATTCACTTGCTTGTTATCTTCATAGAAACACGCCTTATTTGTTGAGAGTTTCCAGCAATTTCTGTTTTTGCTTCACATTTTCTACATTTGTTATATTTTGCTATTAGCTGACAATGATGTCCGCGGAATAATATGCGCAATACTTATTCTGTGAATTAAGACATTATTTTCAAATTTAATGGAGGTACTTTAAATAAAAAAGACACAACCATTATTCATTAATATGTTATTCTAGTTCTCTTGTTAGATAAAATAAAACAATTTTTAAGAAACTCATTCGCAACAATTACATTTTAAAGTAATAAAATCAGAAAGAAAATGTTTAGCCGTTACTCGCTGTATTAAGGATATTTTTCTACTTGTACCAGTAGATTACCCTAGAGGCCTCTTCTAAAGAACATATATCAGTGGAGCAGGACTCACTGTGCTGACAATGAATTCCACTGAATCCATCAGGACACTTGCAGATGTATCCAACAAATGTGTCACCCCGATATGTATCACTCACTTCACAAGTCCCACCATTATGACACGGATTGGGTTGGCAAGCTCCTGAGTAACAGAAAGAATAATTATCAGTTATGAATGGCATTTGTAAAGTGCTTAGTCTAGTTTTTTTTTTCTATGACCAAGTTCCTAAAAAGCACATATTTAATTTTACTACATTAAACAAGGAAGGACAAAGTTGGTGAAAACCATCACTTTTTCCTTCATATACAAGCAATGATTTCTGTATGAAGTGAAACTGCATGCAGCCTTTAAATGTACGCTTGAAAACACAGCCACGCTCAGTTTCTAATCCCAGTTTTTGATTAAAGTGCATGAATCTTAATGTTGCGTGAGGGTAGCTTCATCAGTGCTGGCTCACAACAGAATGAAAATGTTCGTACAGTAGCAAGGGTGATCATACCCGCAGATTCATGAGTCAGTATTTGTCACAACCTTAAAAAAGTCAAGAGATGGGGTGGTTGTTGGTGGTGTGGAGAGGGACGAGGGACGAGGGAGAACAATGGAGCAAAACTGGGAAAAACATGAAAGGGTGCATTAAAACAGAATGCTGGTAATACCCTTTGTGATAAAGTGTGCCTGATTTAGTTTTTAGTCAAATTTCAAGGCATGTTAATTTAAAGTTGTTAAAACTTGAGAGGTAAAGCAACAGAGTACATTACCGATCCAAAAGAAAGTAACCCACAAAAATTATCAGTCTCTGTGATGATATTCACCATCTCAAATGTCAGTTTGAATTTGATGACAAATCAAGGAAATTTTGAAGCATCTTGCAGCAGGGATTTCTGCAAGTGGGTTATCAACCAATCACATGGAACTGTTCTTGAAGACAATAAACCAGGAAACTAAAAGCATTTATTATCCTTCCCTTTTATTTAAAGTTTCAAATAACAAACTAAATTATTAATACAAAATTTAAAATTTCATGAATGAATTTTAAAATATATTTAACAATATGGATTTTTGGCATAATGGAGAAATTTCACATTCTGCAAATAGCTTTCAGGGTCATTTAGACTGTTTAGCAGACACTATGAACTTAGAAGACTGTTAAAAATCCAGGAACACCTCATTCAATAAAGGTGCAATATTTTTTCATGGTTAGGGATCACACGATGTAGATGGAGGAGGGAGAGGGCCTCAACAGCACAATCTCTGAAGGAGTGCAGAATCATTTACGTTGTTGTTTGGATTTCTGTCTGTTTTTGCATTTTTAAAATGTATTTATTCACAGTGTCTGAAAATCGTTGGCGAGGCTAGCATTTATATTTGAAATAGCAAGAACCGCAGATGCTGGAGTCAGAGATAACACAGTATTGAGCTGGAGGAACACAGCAGGTCAGACAGCATCAGAGGAGCAGGAAAATTGAAACTTCCTTGCTCCTCTGATGCTGCCTGGCCTGCTGTGTTCCTCCAGCTCCATACTGTGTAGCATTTATATTACTTATTATATGTGCAGGCTCCAGAAGTTGCTGTCCATTTCAGTGGCATAATGATGGCAAACAAAGTTTTAGCAATATTTCCACTGCAGCATCCAGCCTTTGTTTGATTTAGCTACTGATGTAACTATTTTATTACCTCTAAGTGCTAATAGTTGCTGCTGGACAATTGGAATGTTTAATTCGGACAATGACGGTGACCACTGCATAAATAGATAGGATGACATTCTTTCACAATTAAGCAACTGAAACGGGCCCTGGTCCTGTTCTCATCTAACTTTCGTACTGTAGTCAGGAGAAACCTAATCCCAGCCAAATCTTCTTTCCCAGTTTCAAGGAATGTTGAGCCCAATTGTAGGAATTAAATTCATCAAAGTTCATAAAAAACACACAACAGGCACAGAATCAAGGACATTCCTCCCAATATGATTCAGTTCTGAATCATCACTTATTTTGCCTAATGTATCACTGCAAGGCTTGTGGTTTCCTTCTTCAGCGATGCTAGACATTGCTTTAGAACATTTCAGTTGTAGCCTCAAAGCTTAAGTTCTTACTGCATTTAAACAAAATTATTGAGCTCACGTTAACAAGTTACAAAAACCTCACACCATAAGTTTTATTCAACCTGACATGTTGTTTGTCTCTAATGTATATTTCACATATTTGTTAAAGATTCCTGTTCCTGAATTCCCCAAGAATTTCTTTTTAATACAGAAAATGCTGGAAGCATCTCTAAGCATAACTGCTGCAAGACTTACAAATTTTGTGTTCCAGATTTCTAATATATGCAGTAATGCTTTTTTAAAAAAATAGTTTTCTTTTCAAATTAAGATTGTAAGCTCTGCCAAGCGTTTAATAGTTAGGTGATGAATTAGGCATTTATTTATTTGGACACTGCATCTCACAAATTTATATTACTCGTCATCTCGACTGATCTATCAGAATTCAGATTTATTCTGCTTTCCTTAATTGTTTTATTTCCTCCTCTCCCCAGGGCCAAAAGCACCTTGCACCAAAGAGCCAGATGTAATTCACAATGAAGACATATCCATATTGCTAAAAGCCCAAAACAATGCAAAATTAAATTTAATTCCACAAAGCTCTACATGTATAACAGAAATAGATTTCAAAGAGAGACATCAGAAATATTAAGGATAGCAGGAAACTTTGAAATTAAATAGAAATTAACAACTTGAATAATATCCAGCTGGTGACTGAAGAAATTCTTCATGAGTTTCCATTCCAAGACAAGACAGAAATGCGATTCTTCAGAGTAGAGTACTCATGAGAACCATGCAGCAACAAATGAACACAAGATAAGCCTTACTAATAACAAGGTCCAAACAGTCAAAAAGGTACATCAAGTTCAAAAAGCATTGTGATCTTGAACAACTATATTTCAATTATTAAGAAGATCATATATATTTGTTAGTGGCTTTCTTCTGCAATTCTTTACAGGGATAGACAATAGGAGGAATGTTTAGCTTACATTTTAAATGGATTCAATAATGAATTAACGGCTGTTCGGACTGGCCTGAGGAAAATTTGGCATCTTATAGAATCATAAAATCCTAACAGTGCAGAAAGAGACCATTCTGTCCATCCAGTCTGCACTGACCCTCCCAAAAAATTTAAGGCCTCAAACTTCTGCAATATTCAATATCTGATCAAAGACGTGTCATCTGGAAAGGAGAAGCTGAAAGTCACCCTTCCCCCTTGCTACCAAGCCTGCAGGAGCCTCAGTCTTTGCAATTGTCCAACAACTCAAGGTACTTTCTTCTTGTTCAAATGAAAGTGAGGGCTGAAGGTTGGATGAGCAAACTGACCATGGCACTGCAGCACAGGAAGCCATTCACCTTCACTGCCATGTGTTTCTTTTTGTGTTTGAGCTGAAAAGCTATTCATCTGTTCGACAGTTTTAGGTTCTGATGATGGGCAATCAACTTGAAACCTTGTTCCCAAATCAATGATATAATTAAACCTGATCTGCATATTTCAAATTAAATCCTGTTTGCTTCCCGTGGGTGCCCTGCTTGTTTGCACTAAAAATAATATGGTGTCACACAGGAAGCAGGTTTGATTGATGTGGTAAGAACTTTCTGCCTAGTTTCTGGCAGATGGGAGCACTGAAATCTGTTTCCCAATATACATTGTCCAATTTACCGAGCATTCTCAGCATTTTCTGGTTCCTATTTATTATTAATTCACATTGTTTTGTATTTGCCTACATGTTTTGCCTATTCAGAATATGACACATGAATTACACCATGAACAAACTGCATCATCACACTTCAATTTATAAAATCTTGTGCTTGGAGAGAGGAAATATAATCTATTTTTTCCATATTGGCAGCATTAAGTATTCCCAGCTTTGTTGAGGTGTGAGACAGGGTAAACCATACCCCTTTCCAATTTATATCAGTTTAAGCCTTTATGTCAATAGTCAAGTACAGGAGGTTTCATAAGTTCCCTGTGACAAGAAGTACTATTTAGTTTGGCAGTGTAGGCAAACCAATATTAACAGTTGATTAATATGGCACATATTCATTCTTTAGTGTTTTCTACTTGTAAAGAAGGGATGGCTGCAAATGCCTTTTGGTACATTTCGAGTACACAGAGAATTTCAGGAAAGACTTCATGGAGCACCTGAACATGTAGAACGGGCCAATGTCATGGTGCATCCCATTTTACTCTACAGCACAGGTGACTAGGAGTATGACCAGAAACTGGAAGTCCAGTTGAAATTATGCAAATACTAACACATGATATCTGTCGAGCATAAAAATAAAGTTTAAGAACACAAAGAGAAATGTCTTACGTTCTAAATTCTCTGAAAGTGCAATCAGACCAGATTCTGAAAGATGTTAAAATCCCATTCTCCCACTGGCAGAATGAATTATCCAGAGGATCAGTACTTGGGCCACTGCTCTTTACTATTCACATAAACAGTTTCAACTCAGGAATCAGAAATACCAACATACAAGGGAGGAACAAGAATAGGCCATTTAGCCCTTCAGGCCTGCTTTACCTTTCAATAAGATCACGACTGATCTGATTTTAACCTCAAATCTATATTCCTGCCTACCCTAGTAATCTTTCATCCCCTTAGTAACCAAGAATCTACCAAGAAATAACATTTCGAAATTTGCGACTAACACCAAATTGAAAGCCATTCTTAATATTGAAGCAGTGATAAGATATGTGCATCTATGTTCCTTTAGCTTTTTATCCTCCTCCACCCTACCTGCACAATTGACAACTCATCTCCATTCACTCAGGTCCCACATTGGAATTTCTATTTGCAATAACTCAGGAAGCCTAACTAGAAAGGTACATTGTTTATTGTTGAACAACAAAACAGAGGTACTACTTGTAGCATTCATAAGCTAATCCATGGGACAAACAGTTCTGCAATCCCTTTTTCTCATTTAAACATTTTTTTCTAATCAACCTGTTCAGAGATGTTATTGACACACTTTTGCAGCAGATGGGACTTGAACCCGGCCTCCCAGTCCAAGAGTAGGAATACAACCACAGCACCACAAGAGTTTCACCTGTACTGCTTTTTTTGGGTTCAGGTAATGAGTTCCAACTGGGTAGGCCGTTGCCTGTTACCCAGGGAACTCATACACAATGAGCTCCTCAGGGAGATTAATTAGCAATTCCCCATGAACCTTGTAGGGGTTATCAGAGGACCCTAAACCATTCCACATCACTCTCCTCTTTTAAGCACAGATTTTCAATCAGGTCTCACACGATATTGAATATATTATAGAAACAGACCACTCATTGTCCTAGTCTCTGCTGCTGTTCACACTGAGTACAAGTCCACTCCCACACTACAGTGCATCTTGTCAACATTCTTTTTTAATGTCCTTTTCTGTCATGAACTGTCAAGTAGCCTTTTGAAAGCATCTAAGCTCTTTGTATAAAATATTTTCTGAGGTAGCTAGTTCCACATACTAGTCATTCCCTGGGTAATGTTTTTCCTTATATTCTATTAGGTTTATCACTAAATCTCCGCTAAGTGACATCCATTATTTTCTGATTATACCTTTTTGAAGCATATTGAAACTGGTTGCATAAATCCCTGAAATCTTAACATTTTTTTGAAAAAATTTACACAAAATATTTCCCAGTCACACAACACAGAACATGTTTTGTTCGTGAACAATATTTATCATATACAGAACAGTATAATTTTAGCCCACACTAAGCCTGTAGTAAAATAAGCCACAAGAAAAATTTGAACTGATCACCTGAAACATACACAGATCAGACAATTTTTCAACCTAAAGCTGGATTTACTGGAGTTAAACATGAAAGATTGCAGTTCATTTGTTTAAAGAGAGTCTGTGTTTTCTTGCAAAATAGCAATGTGTTTTGCAATAAATTATGCGTCTCAATTATTTTATATATATTTATAAAAACACAAAACAACTTGCTGTTCAATCAGCCATTTGGAAGGTTGAGAAATGGCACAAGAATTTCATAATTTCAGTGCCTTGTGGGAAGATGCTTGCATTAAAAAGTTGTCAGGTATTAACAGTGTTCTACATCTGGAGTGCTTCAATTAGTCATAGGTCTCTGAACGGCTGTCACTAGATGTGTACAAATTAGCATCTAACTCCAAGCTTTTCAATCATTACCAGAGAAACTTTCATGAAAGCAATACATCTCTTTCAAAGGATGTAGTCAAGAATTTACTAAAACACACCCAGATGTCAGGACTGCTCACAACTTGTTTTTGGTCAACATGTTGTGGTGTTTGTCTCCGACAACGTTTTACCTAACTTGGCACAAATGCATCAAGGTTGCTCTTGATGTAAATCACACGGCTTCATCTTGTTTCCCCATGATGAGGTCAGTGGTGCAGTCCAGGCAGTAGGTTTTGTCAACATAGCGGGTCTCTCCCTCCTAATGCAGCTGGCTTCATCAAGAGAAAAAAGAGTTCTATTTCAACAATACGTAAATCATCTGTGATCATCAATACCACATCTTAGGAGGTCTGCACCAGATACCCTAGAAGCTGCTACGATAGCTATATCTCGAGAATTCTCATATTACTGGTCCATTTCAAGGCTGAATGCCTTACAGGGATAGTTACTGAGGGACAGGAGCTGCCCCCTGCAACCATGCATAACTCAGTGATTGAGGCTGTATGTAGATGTATTGCTGTCCACGTGAAGCAGGCACTAAGCCTGGTGAAGACATCATTCTGATATTTGGATCAGACTATTGCTACTATTGTCCAAGGCGTGAATGAAATATCATGTAGACGCTCCATCTGTTGATGGGTTGACGCTTTCGACATACTTCAGATGCGTTCACAAGTCATTGAGTATCCAGATTCATCCCTGGCCAGCACACAGCTTCATATGCTCTCCTTCTTGTGTGTTCAACAGCCAAGTGTCCCTGGTGTAACACGGATATATATCTTGGACTAATGTTTTCTATATTGGGACTTGTTTGCCCTTGAAATTGACTTGTCATGATATACCAAGTTCACCAGTGTATGGCTAACAATGAATAAATCTTCTCAGATTCTTCTTTCATATTGTCAGATCATGCATGGATAATGATCTTTCACATCTCTTGTAGTTGTTCTGCAAAGTGGAACAGAATGCCTTCCAATTTGTAGTCAAGAACATCAATGTGTGAATGAAGTGCATGTCAAACTGCATTATGCCAAATTCTAGAGTTAAATGTCTTGTACTCTAAATTGGAATCGTTGACTTGTGCAGGTGGCAGGGTTTTTGAACCAAAGTCTATAGCTTCTAATTGTACAGAAGACATGCTCCCAGTTTTTTTTTACAATGAATTCACGCTGAGAATCATGGCTTTCCTGTGGTCATAGAATTGCTTAAGCAACATTTTGCTGATGGAACTTGCTTGAGAGAATCAAAGATATACTGATGGCCATCTTGTCAATACTTCAGGGATATTCTCAATGAGCAAATCTCTTACCAACGGTATATTATCCATGAGATAAGAATATATGGCAAGAGGAAATTAAAAATCCAAGGTAACATCACAGAACCTCTTAATTGTCTGATGTGGGTGTTTGTTTAAGATCCTTGATCTCACCTGGACCGGGATGGACTCCATGAGCAGAATATATAGACGCAAAAAGTTTATCTGGCTGATGTTGACCTGACACTTTGTTCTGTTAAATACTGAAATCTTTGCTGTCATCAGCATGAGAAGGTCATGCTCTGCCTTAATCTCACCCATGACCACTATGTTGTCAGCTCTGCACATACAAATTCACAAAAAATCATACCCATGTGCTGCTAGAAAATATTTTAGCTAATTGAGAGCCCTAATGGAAACTCTCAGAAACAGTACCATCTTAATAGCATCCTAAATGTCATCAGTTCTTGTGAGTCTTTTGCGAACCAGAATCTGTGCTTTGCATCTAGCTTGGAAAAGAATCTTGCCCTGGAAAATTTAATTCTTCTTCCAGTGTTGAACACTTTTTAAATGAAAGGTTGTGATGCTGTGGACAAATGCATGCTCTTCTGGTGTCATCTTTCTTTAAGACACAGAAGATGCAGCCTCAGCAATCTGTGTGGAGGTCAACTTCACGAATTATACCATTTCACTTCATCTTGCCCAGTTCCACTCAGAGCCCCTCTTGAATATGCATACCGTACTTCCTTGGATGATCAACAAATGGGATCCTTATGATGCTTTTATTTTAGCCTATTTTCATAACCAACCCATTCATACATGTTATTACACACCTCTGGAAGAGTGGGACCCACTGTGCCACAAAAGAGCCCTTTCACAATGCACTAATATATCATCTTTAACTATTTCGCTAGTATCAAATCATCTGGGCACAGGTGCCTCAGAGTGATGAATAATGCAATTGTTTCACATGTGATCTGTTTTGAGACTTGTGGGTGTAGTCTGAATCTCATGAATTGTGATTACACCTAGATCTGTGTCGACTCGTAGTATCTCAGATACTGACAGATCAGTGGATATCCAGGAATTGGAGGGGGTACAGCATGGCTGGGGGGAAGCCTAAACTCTAGTTTGGGATAACCTTGCAAATACAAAAGAAACCCAACAGTCAGAACAACCCTCAGACTGAGATACCCTACATGCACTTTGACCATTTAAAGTGTGATGTCAGGCTGTGTCCAATATTTAAGGGTGTTAAAAATAAGTAGAAGACTTCATAATTCATAATTTGCCATGGTTTCAAAGTGTTTTTTTGCACTTTTTGCAAGTTACGTCATTTGGGTTTGTCAATAAATATTTTTTCTTTCCAAAGCAAGCATCCTTTTCCTTTCATCATTTTGTAAGTGTCTATTTACATAGCTTTCACTGAATGTGAACCTCATAACAACTTCACTTGATGTACCAGCTCAATTAACAATGGAAAAATGGACACCTACTTCAAATAAATCTATTGAATACACAGCTCAAAAAATTCATAGGGAAATACAATTGATTTCTATCATGCAAACTATGTGCTAAATTTTATCCGCTACACTCAATCTTCTTTAAGCTAACTGCTGAACGAGGCTGAGTGTGGACTGAAACAATACACCAAGGCCAGACTCTAGTCCAAATGGCCTTGGGGGTTACTGGTCAAGCTCAGAAGGGGAAAGCGACTTTTCCCAAATACTTTAAAAGTACCCCAAGTTAGGATTCAACCAAAGGACAACTTGAAAGAATCAAGCCTGTGCAGGTTCTAAAAGGAAAGCACATGGAAACCATTCCAGAATGCAAAAGCATGTTGAGAGTTACATTGGTTGCAGGAGGGAGGAAATAAAAGGGAAATAAAAGCACTAGAAATATATCTAACATGCAGACAGATGTAGATATGGCCACTGGTACTCTGGACAGATGAATTATTTTCCTGATGCTGATGCAACAGCATTGTGTTAAGAACTGACCTGGAATGTGCTTGCTATGCACGTCAATTTGGATTTTAACACAGGATATGCCCAAAAATTTAGAACTAGATTAGCACCAGTGGCCATTATTAATCCATAACACTGTTTAAATGGCTCTAGTCAAAGTGGATTAAAGTACACTTGAGCAGAACTGCATGTGCAGAATTTTCATGTAACAGGCAGCATGCATATTTAAATGAAATGACAACTGTGTGCAAGGCATTTGCAATATCCCACCTGCTGTAGTCGACTCTTCTCCATCTGCAGCTGTTGGTATTAAATATGGAGTTAGTAAATGGATAGAAATGATCAAAACATGGTACAACTGTCAGCCAAAATATTCATGCATGGATACTTGCAACACTTAATCATCTGGAAGCTGCATTCAATCTAAAAATATTCAGACAGCATTACAAACATTTTAAGTTTGTCAAACTAACAGACTTTCAAATGTTTACAGCAACAAAAAGACAATTTGACATTCAAACTCAAATCCAGATTTTAGTTGATTAAATAAGTGACATAATTATCAGGATATGCTATCAAACCCTGTCTACAAGACATGATGCTTCCCCTGTACATTTTTTTTTAATTAATTTAACCTATTTTTTGAATCAACCTGTTCAGGGATGTTACTTCATGCCTCTGGAGGAGGGGGAACTTGAACCTGGGCCTCTCATGTCAGGGGTGGGGACAGTACCACTGCACCACAAGAGGGGCCTCCCCTGCACCTTATTGGTATCTCTGTTCAATTAGCTCCAACTTGGAGCAGATCCTGAGATAAAAAGATTTTTTTCAAGCTTGATGTAAAATAGGTAGAGTTTGCACCACAACTGGTGAGGAAATGGGACGGTAAAGCCCACTGAATTCAATCAAGGAGAGGGGCAGCTCACAAGCTCCCTGTTGCTTTCTCAACTCTGTCAAAGTTCAGTCTGGAGCTGGAAGACCCATCGTCATGCTTTCCACACCACCATCAATTGAAGCCCTTAAGTGGGTAATTAGTGGTCATTTTAAAGGGTTCATCCTGTCTCTGCTGGTATTAATTCAGCAGCAGGCAGTCCTTTCGCCATGTGGGGGGCACAGTAAATAAAACAGCATACGCAGCTTGTGGTTTCCCAAGGGGGACTGGGAATCCCTTATTCAAAGGAACTCAGTGCCTGACGGAGGCTCCTGGTCTGGGTGGGACCAATTGAGACCTAACTTCTCTCTCCCTCCAAGGTTCTTGATCACAAGCCCTCCTTCCCCAAACCGCCACATCATGAAAATCCTCCTGCCATGATTTGTGGTCTGGCTTGCTCTGTGATCCCAGACCTCCAGTGGGTTTGATCTCATGGCTACATTAAGACACTGGGAAACAAAAGTGCAGGGTTGGGCAGGATATCCACCCCCGGGGCTTTTGAAACTGAAAGGCATTTAAAACTGGAAAACCTTCTCAGCGTAGACAGCATAGGTCTCACAGGCAGGATTCCTGACCATTAAAATCCTCTCCAACAGTATTGGACTAACAATCTGAAGTCCCACACTAATGATTTCATCATGCTGGTTGGGGAATTTAAATTCAATCAATTAAATAAATTTGGAACAAAAAGATAAAAATGTTGACCGAGAACCAAGTAGAATCATCAATGGAACCCACTAATGTTCTTTAAGGAAGGGAACAAACCATGCTGAGCTGCTACAGAATGTAGTATGTGGGATCAATAGCTAGTGCTTATAGCCAGGCTGCAGCATCAGTGATATCAGATCATACGGAATGAGGCCTTGAACAAAGGAAGTTCTGGTGAAAGTTCTTGTTGTTTTATTGAACCATCTCTCTCAACAAACAGTGTAAATGTTTGCACAAGTATGGTGTTCAATCTTCTTCAGTCTATGATTCCCAGAACTATTATAATACTCAGACATGGAAGATATTTGATCTGCAGCAAAATAGTATTCTCATAAATGCACTTTGAAATGGCTCGGCTTACCATCTCAGTTGCATTCAAGATGATGGTTATGATAAAACTGCAGCAGTTCAAGAAGGCAGCTCATCACTATATTCTCCAAGGCAAGTAGGATGGGCAATAAACATTGGACCTTGCCAGTGACACCAAGATTCCATGAGTGAATAATTGAACAAAATTGGCTGGAACAGGTACAATGAGCTACATGGCGTCCTTCTGTGTTGTGTAATTTTATGATTCTACAAGAAGAAATTTCTACAACTTACAGTTACACCACAGCAACTTCAAATTTATATTTTTCTCTTCCATTGAACTAGTGTGAAAATGAAAATTTCTGAGTTGGATACATAAAGTTGAAATTCTGAACCCTTGATGTAACTTTAATCAAATGCAACCCTCACACGCATGAGAAAAAAAACTGAAGATTTTAATTAGCATTTCGAGTGCTTGACGAAAGACAATGCTCAGTTATATTTCTGATTATTTAAAGAACATAATGCAAGCAATGAATTTAATATTCATTTACTGGAATCATAGAATCATAGAATACTATAGCACATAAGGGGGCTATTTGATCCTTTGAATCTCCAATGCAGTTAATTGCATTTCCTAGCTCATTCCATATAGATCGGAAATTTATACTCCAGTATTTGTCCAATTGCCTTTTGAAGGCTACCTTTCAATTTATACACATCACACTTTCATACAGCATGTTCTAGATCCTGATCAATCACTGAGTAAGAAAATATTTTCATTCTGATGTCTTTGGTTCTTTTTTCCAATTATCTTAATTGCATGCCATCTTGTTCTCATCTCCTCAGCCATTGAGAAGATTATACATGTTCATGGATGTTACTGGGACTGGACAGTTTGAGTTATAAGGAGAAACTGGGTAGGCTGGGATTCCTTTTCACTGGAGTGATGGAGGTTGAGGGGTGATCTTATCCAGGCTTATAAAATTATGAGGGGCATAGATTAGGTGAATAGTAAAGGTTTTTTCCCGAGGGTAGAGGGGTTTAAAACTAGACAGCATAATTTTAAGTTAAGAGGAGAAAGATTTAAAAGGGACCTGAGGGGCAATTTTTCCACACAGAGAATGATTCATACGTCGAATGAACTGCCAAAGTGACAGATGCAGGAACAGTTACAATATTTAAAGGACATTTCAACAGCTACACAAATAGGAAAGGTTTAGAGAAGCATGGACCAGGTGTTGGCTGGTTTAGTTTAGTTTAGTTTCAGAAACCTGGTCAGCATGGATGAATTGGACCGAAGGGTCTGTTTCTGTGCTGTATAATTCCATAACTCTATGATTTCAAACACTTCTATCAAAATCCCTCTTAGCTTTCTCTGTACTAAGGACAATAACCTGAGTATCTCCAGTCTATCCACATAAGTATAATATTCATCTGTTACCATTCTAAAAAATCTTTCCTGCACTGTCTTCCAAGCTTTGAGGATCTTCTTAAGTATGATGTCTTGAACTGAATATAATATTCTGTGGAGATCATAACTATTGTTTTATTTTAGAGTCATACAGTCACACAGCTGTGTAGCATGGAATCAGACCCTTTGGTCCAACTCGTCCATGCCGATCTAAATCCTAAATCAATCTAGTCATATTTGCCACCATTTGGCCCACATCCCTCTAAACTCTTCCTATTCACATAGCTATCCAGGTGTCTTTTAAATGTTGTAATTGTACTAGTCTCCATCACTTCCTGTGGCAGCTCATTCCATACAAACACCACCTCTGCGTGAGAAAGTTGCACTTTAGGTCCCTTTTAAATCTTTCCCCTCTCATCTTAAACGTATGCCCTCCTGTTTTGGACTCCCCCACCCCAGGGAAAAGACATTGGCTGTTCACCTTATCCATACTTCTTATGATTTTATAAACCTCTATAAGATCACCCCTCAGCCTCTGATGCTCTAGGGAAAATAGCTCCAGCCTATTCAGCTTCTCCCTATAGCTCAAACCCTCCAATCCTGGCAACATCCTTGCAAATCTTTTCTGAACGCTTTCAAGTTTCACAACATCCTTCCCATGGCAGGGAGACCAGAATTGAATGCAGTGTTCCAAAAGTAACCGAATCAATGTCCTGTACAGCTGCAACATGACATTCCAACTCCTATACTCAATGCACTGACCAATAAAGGCAAGCGTACCAAACACCTTCTTCACTATACCGTCTACCTATGACTCCACTTTCAAGGAACTACGAACCTGCACTCAAAGGTCTTTTTGTTCAGCAACACTCCCCAGGACCTTCCTGTTAAGTATATAAGTCCTGCCCTGATTTGCCTTTCCAAAATGCAGTACCTCACATTTATCTAAATTAAACTCCATTTGCCACTCTGTAGCCCAATTGTCCATCTGATCAAAGTCCCATTGTACTCTGAGGTAACCTTCTTCGCTGTCCACCACACCACAGCTTTGATGTCAACATAGGAGTTATGGGTAGTAAGTTGCAGACGACACCAACTCATTTGTATAAATGATGAAAAGCAGTGAACCCAGCACCGATCCTTTGGCACACCACTGATCAGAAGCGTCCAGTCTGAAAAGCAACCCTCCACCACCATCACGCTCTGTCTTCTATTTATGAGCCAGTTCTGTATCTCAAATGGCTAGTTCTCCGTGTATTCCATGTGTTCTAACCTTGCTAACAGTCTACCGTGCGGAACCTTGCTGAAGCCTTACTGAAGTCTGTATAGATCACGTCCACCGCTCTGTCTTCATCAATCCTCTTCATTACATCTTCAAACACTCAATCAAGTTAGTAAGACACGATTTCCCACACAAAAAGCCATGTTGACTATCCCTAATCCATCCTTGCCTTTCCAAATACATGTAAATCCTGTCCCTCAAGATCCCCTTCAACAACTTGCCCACCACTGATGTAAGGCTCACTGACCTACAGTTCCCTGGCTTTTCCTTGCCAACTTTCTTAAATACTGGCATCATATTTGTCAACTTCTAGTCTTCGGGAATCTCACCTGTGACTATCAACAAGACAAATATCTCAGCAAGGGGCCCAGCAATCACTTCCCTAGCTTCCAACAGAGTTCTAGGGTACACCTGATCAGGTCCCGGGGATTCATCCACCTTTATGTGTTTTAAGATGTCCAGCACCTCCTCCTCTGTAACATGGACATTTTCCAAGATTTTGCTGTTTATTTCCCCAAGTTCTCTAGCTTCAATATCCTTCTCCACAGTAAACACTGATGCAAAATATTTGTTTAATACCTAGGCCATGTCCTTCGGTTCCACACATTAGGTGGGTTTTGTACAAGGACAGAGTCACAACATAGCAACAGCACATT